TACCACTTACAAGACTCTTAAGCCTAGTGGTTTGAGACCTGCCTGGGTAACACAGTGAAACCCTGTCTCTGTTTAAAAATAACAACAAAAAAAGTAAGATGAAACACAGTCTCCTAAAGATTTGTTCTTGGCTAACTGTGGGCCAGACACATGGATTCTTACATCACTGACATGCAGAGGAGCAGTTACCATCCATTTCTGGGAGGAAGTTTCAAAGGAATCACACAATTAGCTTGTTTCTTAGGCACTTCTGACAAATGAGGAAGAAAAAAATTGCTATAATTTCTGTTTAAGTGTTGCTAGGAAAACAGGTGTAACACACAGGACTAGGGATGGTTAGGCAGGAAAGAATTATAAACTTTTCATAACCTCTAAAGTTGTTGCAACTTATTTACTTCTATGATAGAGCTCTAAGGATTTCAAGGGGATGGAACTATAGTAGAACCTCTGTAAGTTGACCACCTGAGGGAATTTAACAAATTAGTCAACAGAAAGAATGAGGCCTACTATACTGATACCTACACGTGGTGCATGTCTAATCTGTGAAAATTAGGTCAACTTAAAGAGGTGGTTAATGTAGGGAGGTGGTCAACTATGGAGGTTCTACTGTAGTAGTTAAATGTTATACTAGAAGCTTCATGGAATCACAGGATGTAAGAGCTAGAAGTGGCCTCACAGATCAATTATTAATTCTTAATTATGAGTTCATGATAAAATTTTCACTGGCCCACAGAAAACTGAGATACATTTGTATAATCTGCTATCTTATTTCTTTAACAAGCTATATGAATCCAATATAAAAGACTGTTCTGTATTCTGAGATTGCATTTTTTCCATATTTGTGGCATTAAAATATTCTCTCATAAAAAAGATGGTGGTGATGGGTGGCGCCTGTGGCTCAGTGAGTAGGGCGCCGGCCCCATATACCAAGGGTGGTGGGTTCAACCCCGGCCCTGGCCAAACTGCAACAATAACAACAACAAAAAAATAGCCAGGCCTTGTGGCGGGTGCCTATAGTCCCAGCTACTCAGGAGGCTGAGGCAAGAGAATCACCTAAGCCCAAGAGCTGGAGGTTGCTGTGAGCTGTGACGCCAGAGCACTCTACCAAGGGTGACAAAGTGAGACTCTGTCTCAAAAAAAAAAAAAAAAAAAAAAGATGGTGATGGCTCAGCGCCTATAGCTCAGCAGCTAAGGTGCAAGCCACATACATTGGAGCTGGCTAGTTTGAATCCAGACCAGGCCTACCAAACAACAGTGATAACTACAACCAAAAAATAGCTGGGTGTTGTGGCAGGCACCCATAGTCCCAGGTACTTAGGAGGCCAAGGCAAGAGAATCACTTAAATCCAAGAGTTTGAGGTTGCTGTGAGCTGTGACACTGCAGCACTCTACCTGGGTGACATAGTGACACCCTGTCTCAAAAAAAAAAAAAAGGCAATTATAAATGGTAGCTTGGTCTTTTTCTGTCTTTTAATGAATGTATTCTACTTATCTCTGTTCCTTATTATTGTCCCAATTAGTTGTTTTGTTTCGTTTTATTTTTGAGACTGGGCTCACTATGTTGCCCAGACAAGAGTTCAGTGGTGTCATCATAGCTCACTGTAACCTCAAACTCCTGGCTCAGGTGATCCTCCTGCTTCCAACTCCTGGGTATCTGGGACTACAGGCATGCACCACCACGTCTGATTACCAATTCTTTTTTTTTTAAAGCTCTCCATTGAAATATAACATGTAGGCTCGGCGCCTGTGGCTCAAGCAGCTAAGGCGCCAGCCACATACACCTAAGGTAGCAGGTTTGAATCCCTAGCCTGGGCCCGCCAAACAACCATGAGGGCTGCAACCAAAAAATGGCTGGGCGTTGTGGTGGGCACCTGTAGTCCCAGCTACTTGGGAGGCTGAGGCAGGAGACTCACTTGAGCCCAGGAGTTGGAGGTTGCTGTGAGCTGTGATGCCATGGCACTCTACCCAGGGGGACAGCTTGAGGCTCTATCTCAAAAAAAAAAAAAAAAACAAAAGAAATATAACATGTACATTCCCAATTAGTTTTGATAGCCCTGAATTCATAGGATAACTTTCTAACTTGGAAAAATGAAACTCTGGGCACACCATGTGTCTTCCAAATTGTTTTGTGAAGAAAATTTATGGGTCCATAAAATCTGATTGGGTTCAACATCCCTCCTAATTGCAGAAAAGGAAATGGGAGTCTAGAGAGGTTGCATGTTAAAGTATTTGCAAATACTGAAGGTGCCCTAGCTATGTAATACCAAAAGCCAAGCGTCAATGGTTTGGTTTGAGCCAGGAAGGAGGGAGCAGAAAAGTTAGTCAACTGGCTTGAACAAAAAGCCCTTGAAGGAACAGACCAGAGGAGAAGACAACAGCCATTAGTTTCCCAGCATTACACAGGTGCAAGGGGACCTTTCTCCTAAGACTTAAGAATTGTAATAAATTAACATTGTGGTTTGACACCTTTTGTGAGAAAAACAGAGAACTACGAGAACAGAATGAACACTGCCTGCCCGGCCTTCTTTGACATCAACAAATAAAAGCAGCAAGTCCTTGGGGTTCTTTTTTTTTTTTTTTTTGCAGTTTTTGGTCGGTCAGATTTGAACCCACCACCTCCAGTATATGGGGCCAGCGCCCTACTCCTTTGAGCCACAGGCGCCACCCTCCTTGGGGTTCTGAACCCGGTTGCTCTTTCTGAGCTGCCCACTCCCTTTCTTTGGTGGGTCCTCTTACTTCTGCACAAGTCTTTCCAAAGCCTATCCACTGTCACTCAACAAACCTGCCACTATTGCTTGGTTGCGTGTGCAACCAGGAATGTTTGCTGTGACGTTAGTAACTCTTTATGCTGGTGACAGAACCAGTGTTCTTGCCAACCAGATTCCAGAGCTCACAGTTTCTACTCAACTTACTGTGTTCAATATTACTACAAGGTATAGAGTTTGACTCTGAAACCGTTTATGATGCGGAAGTGAGACAAAGACGAGTTTTATGCAGTCCACAGACTGCACGGTAAGCTCTACTGTGCTTTGCCACAATCATCTCTTACAAGCCTGTCAAATCATCTCTTTTCTTTTGGTTGAGACAGAGTCTCACTCTGTCACCCTCAGTAGAGTGCCATGGTGTCCCAGCTTACCCAGCTCACAGCAACCTCAAACTTTTGGGCTTAAGTGATTCTCTTTCCTCAGCCTCCCAAGTAGCTGGGATTACAGGCTCCCAATACAATGCCTGGCTATTTTTAGAGATGGGGTCTCACTCTTGCTCAGGCTGGTCTAGAACTCCTGAGCTCAAGCAATCCACCCACCTTGGCCTCCCAGATTGCTAGGATACAGGCGCGCCACCTCACCCAGCCTTCTATCAAGTATTCTTTACATGGCACTAATTATGCATCAAAACGCAACAGGATAGCATAAGATTGTATAAATATACACAAATAAACACATACTTATTTCATAACCTCTACTTATAAGCTACTTCGTTCAGGTAGTTTATTAGTCACAGAACAGCAGCCACCACTAGCTTTTCCTTGAAGTTCATATATAGTTTGTTTTGAGACACAGCCTCAAGCTGTTGCCCTGGGTAGAGTGCCCTGACATCACAGCTCACAGCAGCCTCCAACTCCAAGGCTCAAGCAATTCTGCCTCGGCCGCCTCCTCCCAGGTAGCTGGGACTATAGGCACCTGCCACAACGCCCAGCTATATTTTAGTTGCAGCCGTCATTGTTGTTTGGCAGGCCCAGGCTGGATTTGAACCCGCCAGCTCAGGTGTATATGGCTGGTGCCTCAGCTGCTTGAGCCACAGGGGCCCAGCCTCATATATAGTTCTAATGTAATAATTCTGCATCTGGGACCAGGTGGTTCATGCCTGACTACTGAGTCACGTAAATATCAGAAGATAACACCTGTTACCCAGACAAATACAAAAGCCTTTAAACTCTGCTCTGGAGCCAGAAAAATGTTTAAAAACTGTTATGTTAAAAATTTTAGCTCTTTTATCTCAATTTCTCATTATTATCCCAATTAGTTATGGGAGTTTCAAATGCCAGCTATTAACTGAAATTGCTGTTTAGAGCGCAGGCTCACACGCTTACCTTTTTCCTTGTAAAAAATTGGAACCATGCAGCCATAAAAAAAGATGGTGACTTCACATCTTTTATGTTTACCTGGGTGGAGCTGGAACATATTCTTCTTAAAAGTATCTCAAGACTGGAAACAAAGTATCTCAAGAATGCAAAGAAAAGGATCCAATGTACTCAATACTACCATGAGAACAATATATAAGCACCTATACATTCACACAAATGGTAAACATAACTATAGTCCAGAAAGGGCAAGGGAAGAGAAGAGAGAGGGGAGAGGAGGGGAGAGGCAGGAGGAGGGAAGCTATTTGGGGGACCTCACCTAATGTGCATGATGCAATGGTACATTTCAAAACTATTAAGAAAAGAGTATAATTTTGATGGATGTGTTAATCAGTTCAATGTAAGATTTCAATTTGGACATCAAATCAGTACACTGAACCCCATAAATGGATCAATGTACATGGTTATGATTTAATTTTAAAAGATTAATTATTTTTGAAAGAAGTTAAAAAATTTTTTTGAACTAGCAGTCATAAACTTAACTCATTAAAGAGGTAAAACTAAAATAAAAAGCCTTACCTAGTTAGTGTAAGGCAGGTAGGTGTCTAGTAAATTTAAGCAATGCCTTACACCCAGCTTTTTTTTAACTTTGAAATTCTGAAATAATCTGATACTTACTCACAGAAAGGTGGTAAAAGTAGCACATCTCTGCATACTCTTCACCCAGCTGTCCCTAATATTAGCATTTTACATAAACACAGTACAAATATAAAAACTGAGAAATCAACATGGGTATAAGTCTATTAACTAAACTACAGGCTTTATTGTGATTTCACCACTTTCCCCAATAATGTCCTTTCTCAGTCTTCAGATCCAACCTATGACCCACATAGCATATAAAAAGCTTAAATTCACCAACCTGTAGGAATCAGGGTTTCATCCACAGGCAAATAAGTATCAGCCTCTATGGTGACTTCATGGTCATATATATTTGGGGAACCCTGGGAGGAAAACGTAGAGGAAAGATTTACTGCTTAGTCTTATATCTTGGTTTTATAACTTCTCTTGCTTAAATGATTTTAGGCATTGGCAATAACTTCACAAATCCTATTTGACCAATGGTAATGATTAATATGAATGTTTTTTTAAAAATTTGAAACAGAGTCTCACTGTGTCACCCTGGGTAGAGTGGCATCAGCTTAGCTCACAGCGACCTCAAACTCCTGGGCTCAAGTGATCTTCCGGCCTCAGCCTCTCGAAGAATTAGGATTACAAGTGCCTGCCACAACATTTAGCTATTTTTTTTCTATGTTTAGTAGAGACTGGGTCTCACTCTTGCTCAAGTTGGTCCCCAGCTCCTGAGCTCAAGGGCTCTACCTGCCTCAACCTCTCAGAGTGCTAGGTGTGAGCCACCGCCCAATGGTAATGATTGAATATATCCAGAGGCAGTCTACCAAAAATATAAGTAAATAAAAATAAACATGATCATTTACATATAGGTAGATAGGGCCTAAATATAGCAACTGGGAAATCTGGAAGAAGCATCCACTGTGCATGCATTTTCTTTTCTAAATGGAATGAATATGAAGGTGAAAGGTCAGAGAGAACACAGTGGTTCCAAAGCATTTGGACCTTGGCTTATTAGTGGAGGCTTTATTTCTCCTCACATGCCAGGCAAACAGAAGAGCAAGGGTCAGTGACCAGGGACACACAGGTCCTGGAAGGCCAAGGCCCTGCTCCAAGCTCACTTCTGGTGGGGCGAGACATCAGGCAGCCCTCTCTGCCCAGCTCCCATCTAGAGGACCCACTCCCAGCTACATAGTAGAAGCCCAGGAGTCAGAACTTCACCCCTGCCTTTGAGAATTTGTCTACCTCCTGCAGCCTGCCTTTCCAGGGAGCTGAAGGCTGGCACAAACAGCACTGGTCAGTGTCAGAAGGCCTGGGGTCTGGTCTAGCTCTCTCTGAGTGGCCCCAGGGAAATCACTTAATCTCCTAGAATCTCATTTCCTTTTGGGTAAAATTGGGCTAATTTTGCCTTTTCCAGGGTTCTTGGGAAGAACAGTTTAACAAAGGTGTGTTGTGCTTCTGCAAAGATGAAAATATTGTAAGCATGTATGTTTGTAACACAAGGCTTTTTTTTTGAGACAGAGTCCTATTATATCACCCTCGGTAGAGTGCCATGGCGTCACTGCTCACAACCACCTCAAACTCTTGGACTTAAGTGATTCTCTTGTCTCAGCATCCCAAGTAGTTGGGACTACAGGCCCCCGGTGCAACGCCTGGCTATTTTTAGAGACAGAGTCTCACTCTTGCTCAGGCTGGTCTCAAACCCATGAGCTCAGGCAATCTAGCCAGCTTGGCCTCCCAGTGTTAGGATTACAGGCGTGAACCACCATGCCTGTGTAATACAAGGGTTTTTTTTAAATAAAAGAAAATTATCAACAGTAACACATTTTAAAGCAAAAGATGGGGACGGGAAACCAAGTGAGGACTTTTGCTTAGTGAATGCTCAAAAATAACCTAAACCAGTGGTTCTCAACTAGTGGAGATTTTGCCCTGCAAGAGACATTGGCAATTTCTGGAGATATTTTTTTATCATCATGACTGGGGGGCAGGGTGCTACTGGCATCCAGTAGGGAGACACCAGGGAGGCTACCAAACAGTCCCCACTCCCACGTGTCAACAGCACCAAGGCTGAGAAACCCTGAGTTAAGCTAAACTAAGTAAGCAAAGAGAGGCAGAGGGTTGCAGGTTAGTTGGAAACAGACTATATGGAAGTCATTTTGAGAAGAAAGGCTGAGATTTTAGAGACCAGGAGAATCTGTGTCTAAATATGACACTGGTTTAATGACAGTACTAGGAGGTTCTGTGTCTAGTGGGCACACGGAGTGGGCAGGTGGGGGCCAGGACAGGGGCCTCTCATCTGCCCATATTCCATCTTAGCCACTCGTTTGGTCCCTGTTCTAACCTGGGAATGCTGGTCCAAGCTGGAAGAAGGTCTGTACCCATCCTAGAACAGCTCCAGACTACAGGGGTTGTCACTCCTGATGGTTCCTTGTACTGCCATCCTGTTGCCTCAGGGTGGTGCCAGCCAATCAGAGGCCTCTGGGACTGAGCGGGTGGAGTTGAGGGAAGAGAATTTGTGACTACTATTATTTCCTTGGCTGTACGTATTCAATACTCAACACAGAGGGTTTTGGGTCAGCCCAGACAGGGGTACAAAACTTTGGGTCAAGGCATTGGCAGCACTAAATAGGGTGTCACATAGAGAGCCAAAGTGTCTCACACTTGTAATCCCAGCACTCTGGGAGGTTGAGGCAGGAGCACTGTTCAAGCTGAGGAGTTTGACACCAGCCTGAGCAAGAGTGAGACCCCATCACTACTAAAGATAGAAATATTTGCCAGGCGTTATGGCAGGTGCCTATAGTCCCAGGTACTTGGGAGGCTGAGGCAGGAGGATTGCATGAACCTAGGAGTTCGAGGTTTCTGTGAGCTAGGTTGATTTAGGCATAGCAATCTAGCCCAGGCAACAGTGGAAAGGAAAGAAAAGGACAGCCCACACTGAAGCTCCTCCGTCCTTCCTTTGCACAAGTAAGACTTGAGGAACACAACCTCTCTAACCTCATTCATTAGGGAAGCCTGTGGGAGGCGAGGTCATCCTTTAGACTCCCGGCCTATCATTTATCTGAAGTATGCTTTATAACCAGAACACTGTTCTGATTCATATGGTTAATAGATTAACTTAGCCTGTTCTAGAACTTCACATAAATAGAACCATACAGTACACATTCTTTTGCACCTCACTATTTCCAACATAACGCTCTTGAGATCATCCATGTTATTTTATCAGTAATGTGTTCCTTTTTATCACTGAGTAGTATTCCATCATACGACAATATCACAACTTGTTTATCCATTCTCCTACCGATGGATTAGAGGGTTGTTTTCAGTGTTTTATTATTATAACTAAAACCGCTTAGGAATTTCCTTCTTCTGTTTTATTTTGTTTTTAGCACTAGGGCAGGGAGAAAACGAATCAATCTGAAAATCATACACCAAATAAAGTGATGAGTCAAGAATGTTAGGAAGAAACCTAGCAGAGGGAAAGGAAAGGAACACTCATCAGCCCCCACGGTCTTAAAGGTCACAGGGTCACCGTTAGTACCAACATTCCTTCATTAAAAACAAGCATGCTTTGTTTTATGACTCTCTTGGCCTGGAAAATTGCAATGATTTAGTCTGGTGGAATATTACTGTGGGAATCATTTCCTTTCAAGGCCAGATGAAAACTTGGCAAGAAATGCTGATTCACAAACAGACCTTGAGGCCCATCTCTGAGTTCAGCGTTTGTTTTGGTTAGCTTTGCTTGGCTGCTACCAGTTCGTAACATTAATCATTTATAGAGCCCCTTAACATACAGACCTTTATGTGCACGGCAGCACCATGGCTTTGATTCAGCTCTTATCACCTCTAGCCTATAATATCACACTATTTTTGTTTTGCTTTTATTTGTATTACATTCATGGGATACAAGTGCAATTTTGCTACATTGACGTACTGCCTGGTGGTAAAGTCAGGCCTCAGTGCATCCGTCCATCACTGCAGCAACACACACTGCACCCACCCTTTACTCTCACTCCCCTGCTCTTAGACCGCCACCCTTCCTAGTCTGCATTGTCCATCACGCCTTGTTCTGCTTCTACATATACAAATAATTTAGCTCTCATTTATAAGTCAAAACATAGTGTATTTGTCTTTCTGTGAATAGACATGATTGGTAACTTACTCAAATGCCACAACAACTCCTTTACCAGTACCCTCCCTTCCCCCCAAACAGAAACTTGATGGATTGAATTATCCTGTGTCCTATGCCATGTATTCAGGTAAGGGGACCCCTTCCCCATTCCCAAGGGTGACTTTTGACTGGTCTTAGCCAATCATGGTGGTCTGTCACTTTGCTGACGGCTGGGTTAGGCATAGCATAGGCCATGTTTCTGGCCAGTGAAATGGAAGAGAAAGTCTGCTGAGGGCACTTCTAGGAATGGTTTTGCTTGTTCTT